ATCCACATATATAATGAGGACCGAACCATTGGGAGGGGTCCAGGACCTCAGTGTGGTCTGGAGGGCAAGTGAGTAGACTGCAAACAAATCTACATAGCCCTAGGCATTCTACACCAGGTCAACTGGCAATTTTCAGAATATAAATGCAAATAGTGCCCTCGTCTGGTGGTCCACAGGAACCGAAAAAAATGCATTTGTTAAATCAATCACTGTAAAATATTCTGCATCGGACGGAATGGAGGTTAGGAGTGATGGCACATCAGGCACTATTGGGGCTAATGGAACCACCAAATTATTTATGGCCCTCAAATCTTGTACACAACCTGTAAGAGCCATCCGCTTCTTAACAGGATTGATAGGTGTGTTGTAAGGAGAAACAGTTTCTTCTACCTTCTGTTTACATGCTGTAGCAATAGGGAGGGAAGCCTTATTCTTGAAAACCCTTTTTAATTCTGTGTCAAGCTCCCCCCACATAGTTTCTCTCCCTTCTGTGGTATTCAGTTTATAGGCAGTAGCCTGTGTATTACTTGGTTCTATGTGACTAATGCTTTTTACATTTATCCAATCCCAAGCTGGATTATTTCCCAGAATACCATCAATGATCAATCTCATATCTTCTCCTGTATGTAATTTCTTCCTAAACATACCTTTTTTAAATAAACAAGTGTACCTCCAGGAGATACTGTAGGCTTGGGACAATGTTTAACAATCTTATTAATATCTTCTAATTCTATGGGTTTTTTTAGAATTAGTTCTCCTGCTGTGAGAAAAGGTAGTGTCAATATAGCCAACTCCTTTCCTCCTACGGCCCCCTCATCTTCTCTTTTTCCTCTAGTTTCTTATCCATGGATCTAAGCTGCATTCTAAATTCCTCCACCTCTCTGCCCTTTCTATGACTGGTGTCACTTCTCCTCCATTGACCATCCTTTTTCTGTAATTTTATTATATTTACCTGTCCCTGTTCTTCGTATTCCAACTCTCCCTCGTTGTCATTATTCTCTGTAAGGATGCCTTGAACTTGGTTACCCTCCTCTGGTGATTTTATACTAATGATCTGTTTGGGTCTAGTGGAGGGGCCTGGCTGTATTGGTTGTAGATCCGGGACGGGAAGTGGCGCAGGGACAGGGGCAGGGACTGGAGGGGCAGGGTGCAGGAGCTGGAACTGCAGAGACAGGAGCAGGGGCTGGAGGGGCATTAGGCTGGGGAGTAATCATCCCCAAACTAATCAAAAAATCATCATCAGCAGCATTTTTAAAACCACTTAATGAAGGATATATATTATACGGAGGGGGTGGGGTTGGTGTCTGAACTGTTTTCAGTCCAATCTTGGGTCTGCATGTCTTTTCAGATTGATGCTTTTCCTGGCATACTTTTAATGTATCCAATTTCAACTTCCTCTTTTGTTTTAAAGAGAAAATCAAATTGAACTTTCCCTTGCTATTATCAACCCAATACGGTGACCATTTTAACCAGTTTTCTCCCCCTTTCTTCATATAAGCTTGGTCCCATTGTGGGTCCCCCTCATACCAAGGAAAGGCTTGTTTGTCCCCCATACATATAATCCCTTAATCATATCTGTATGAAAAGGATCATTTGCCCCCTTTCTTGGGAATGGGTCTGTACTCCCCATAGCTTCTGTCCAGCCTGCCATACAATCCACCCAGGGATTTATTAAATAATAGTCCGTTCCACAAACTCTAGCAACATAATCCTTACAATTTTCTCCCTTTTCTGGGGGACCTGGTGGGTAACTACCTCCTTGACCCATATTTAGACAGTGGATAAAACAATTTTAGCTTAAAATCTTATTTTGTTCCACACAACAAATTATCTTATACTTCTACGCAACAGAAAGAAAAAGCAAAAGACAGATAAACCAGAATCTGCTCCACAGACTTATTAACCTCTTGATAACTTCCCAAAGTTATCTCTTCACTGTTTTACCAAAAACAGAGAACTGTGTTTACCAAAACACCTTTTTTTTTATATTATAGTGCACTATTTTGTAACTCTTACCAAAGAGTTAAGTCTGCTTTACCAAAAGCAGCTACAGGTTATCACGGGTCTATATAGACAATACAGAATGATTCAAGACCTTCCCTCAACACAGGGCAAGAAAGAGCTTTTAGTCATAAAATTAGTGTTAGTGCATTAGTGTTCTTTTTAGGCTTTCTTTCTTTTATTTTCACCTAGTGAAGCTGCCAGTAAGTCTGTTGTTTTTCAACAGAACAAGCTGTCCTGAGGTGCTTACAATAATTAGTTTTTATTCATTTATGTAAAACCTTTATTTGTTGTTGTAACTGCTTATGAAGTATTAGCTGGACTTTGGCTCCAAATTGTTAGTATATTTAAATCTGCTAGTACATCTAACTCTACTCTCCCCCTAGACTGACAATGTTGTTGTCCAAAGGTGTATCTGTTCTCTATCATCCAGAGTAGGGACACTGAGATACAGGGGGTGTATTAGTGGCCAGATCACCAGGTGATAACAGGGGGGAAAAAAAGATTAAAAAAAAACAAACAAATCTAATGCAGCCACCAGAATATATTACATTTTTTTTGGTTTGGATTTAATACCTCTTTAAAGTAAATATTTTATTCTATCTTTTCATGTGACAACACTGAAGAAATGACACTTTGCTACAATGTAAAGTAGTGAGTGTATAGCTTGTATAACAGTGTAAATTTGCTGTCCCCTCAAAATAACTCAACACACAGCCATTAATGTCTAAACCGCTGGCAACAAAAGTAAGTACACCCCTAAGTGAAAATGTCCAAATTGGGCCCAATTAGCCATTTTCCCTCCCCGGTGTCATGTGACTTGTTTAGTGTTACAAGGTCTCAGGTGTGAATGGGGAGCAGGTGTGTTAAGTTTGGTGTTATTGCTCTCACTCTCTCATACAGGTCACTGGAAGTTCAACATGGCACCTCATGGCAAAGAACTCTCTGAGGAGCTGAAAAAAAGAATTGCTCTGCGTAAAGATGGCCTAGGCTATAAGAAGATTGCCAAAATGAGCTGCAGCACAGTGGCCAAGACCATACAGCGGTTTAACAGGACAGGTTCCACTCAGAACAGACCTCACCATGGTTGACCAAAGAAGTTGAGTGCGTGTGCTCAGCGTCATTTCCAGAGGGTGTCTTTAGGAAATAGACGTATGAGTGCTGCCAGCATTGCTGCAGAGGTTGAAGGGGTGGGGGGTCAGCCTGTCAGTGCTCAGATCATACACCGCACACTGCATCAAATTGGTCTGCATGGCTGTCGTCCCAGAAGGAAGCCTCTTCTAAAGATGATGCACAAGAAAGACCGCAAACAGTTTGCTGAAGACAAGCAGACTAAGGACATGGATTACTGGAACCATGTCCTGTGGTCTGATGAGACCAAGATCAACTTATTTGGTTCAGATGGTGTCAAGCGTGTGTGGTGGCAACCAGATGAGGAGTACAAAGACAAGTGTGTCTTGCCTACAGTCAAGCATGGTGGTGGGAGTGTCATGGTCTGGGGCTGCATGAGTGCTGCCAGCATTGGGGAGATACAGTTCATTGAGGGAACCATGAATACCAACATGTACTGTGGCATACTGAAGCAAAGCATGATCCCCTCCCTTCGGAGACTGGGCTGCAGGGCCACCATGGTGACACTGTACTGCTAGGGTGACAGTATGTAAAAAAAAAAAAAAAAAACATAAATAATAATATAAAAATGTAAAAAAAAGTTTAAAAATTATAATTTTTGGTTATAAACTAATTTTGGCTTTTTTTTTTTTACTAAAAAGATAACGGAATAAATTTTGGCCAAGATTTATGATAAAATATTATTTATTTGCAAAATTTTATAAGAAAAACACTTTTTTTCAAAATTTTTGGACTTTTTCATATACATAGCAAAAAAAAATAAAAATCCCAGCAGTGAATAAACACCACCATAATAAAGCTTTATCTGTCTCAAAACAATGGTAAAAAATTCATATGGGTACAGTGTTGCATGACCGCGCAATTGTCATTCAAAGTGTGATAGCGCTGAAAGCTGAAAATTGCCCTGGACAGGAAGGGTCTAAAAGTGTCCGGACAGGAAGTGGTTAAGGCAGTGCTGGAACATAATGGTGGCCACACAAAATATTGACACTTTGGGCCCAATTTGGACATTGTCACTTAGGGGTGTACTCCCTTTTGTTGCCAGCGGTTTAGACATTAATGACTGTGTGTTGAGTTATTTTGAGGGGACAGCAAATTTACACTGTTATACAAGCTGTACACTTACTACTTTACATTGTAACAAAGTGTCATTTCTTCAGTGTTGTCACATGAAAAGATAGAATAAAATATTTACAAAAATGTGAGGGGTGTACTCATATCTGTGAGATACTGTGTGCGTGTATGTATGTATATATATATATATATATATATATATATATATATATATATATATATAATTTATTTTATAATATAATTTTTTTTTAAATAACATGTTATACTTACTTGCTCTATGCAATGGTATTGCAAAGAGAGTCCCCTAATTTTTTTTTCTGAGTTTGTCCTACACTGGCTCCTCCTGTTCTCAGTGCGCCCCCATAGGAAGTTGCTTGCTATAGTGGCATATATGCGGGCTCGCTCCTGAGTTGGGGTGTGTGCATCTATTGACATACACAGCGCAGCTCGACCCCCACCCCCCACTCCTTCCTCACAGCATTTGATTGACAGCAGTGGGAGCCTATGACTTCCAATACTGTCTTTGAGCCTATGAGAGGGGAGAGAGAAAACTAGTGTTGCTGCACACGGTCAGAATGGTGGATCGATACAGGACTCAATATTTAGTGAAGGGGGCGGTTGGAAATACTAGTAGAAAGTTTTTTTTTTTACCTTAATGCAGGTAATGCATTAAGGTAAAAAGCCTTCTGGCTGTAGAACCTCTTTGCCATGTAATTTAGCTGGAATTATGCACTCAGGTTGTAGCCCAGATTAATTTTGCTTTGGCGATTGACACTTATCTTATTTTGACGCAGAGGGAAAATATCACAAGCAAATCAAGATTGTAGAAAATGCAACGGGTTACAGTTATGAAAATCTTTTCAAGCCATATGTGGATGAAACTCTAACAGAAGTGTGGGTGGAGGACCCATATATCCGGTACACTCATCAAGTAAGTATGAACAGGGTTGTCAGGTAGGCGGTAGTTATTTTCACACATGAGAATTATGCATATGTAACAGCCTTCCTATATTTCCAGTGATGTAAGAGATAGTAGTATGTTTATAATGCTACTTGTCTAATTATATATAATGTGTTTATACTGCTGCTTGTATAATTATATATATACAGTGAAGGAAATAAGTATTTGATCCCCTGCTGATTTTGAATGTTTGCCCACTCACAAAGAAATGATCAGTCTGAAAATCGAATGGTAGGTGTATTGTAACACTGAGAGACAGAATAGCAACAAAACATTCAAAAGAAATGCATGCTTAACAAATGATGCACTGATTTGCATTTTCATGAGGAAAATAAGGATCCCCTATCATTCAGAAGTATTTCTGGCTACCAGGTGTCTTTTATACAGGTAACAAGCTGAGATTAGAAGCAGTCTCTTAAAGGGAGTGCTGCTAATCTCATTTTGTTACCTGTATAAAAGACACCTGTCCACAGGAGCAATTAAACAATCAGATTCCAAACTCTCCACCATGGCAAAGACCAAAGAGCTGTCCAAGGATGTCAGGGACAAGATTGTAGACCTACACAAGGCTACCAAACTATCGCCAAGCAGCTTGGTGAGAAGGTGACAACAGTTGGTGAAATCATTCGCAAATGGAAGAAACGCAAAACAACTGTCAGTCTCTCTAGGTCTGGTGCACCATGCAAGATCTCATCTCGTGGAGTGTCAATGATCATGAGAACAGTGAGGAATCATCCCAGAACTACACGTGAGGATCTTGTCAATGATCTCCAGGCAGCTGGGACCACAGTCACCAAGAAAACAATTGGTAACACACCACGCTGACAAGGATTGAAATCCTGCAGTGCCCGCAAGGTCCCTCTGCTCAAGAAAGCACATGTCCAGGACCGTCTGAAGTTTACCACTGATCACCTGAATGATGCAGAGGAGGACTAGTTGAAAGTGCTGTGGTCAGATGAGACCAAAATCGAGCTCTTTGGCATCAACTCAACTCGCCGTGCTTGGAGGAGGAGGATTGTTGCCTTTGACCCCAAGAACACCATCCTGTTGACTAGGTTACGTGTATTTGTGAATACACCCCAATCCTTGTAGGCATATTTACATATATCCAGCTAGATCTGAGAGTTCCTACACAAAAGAGGTAGTTCCATCTGCAATATACATTTGATGATAGAGGTACATAATATATACAAATTACACGCTATGCAGTATTTACAACACAATGTACAGTTATTTACAATTTACCCACAAAACCATGTTTAAAATACAATGTACAATACAAGTATAAAGTTAGTTTACCTCTCAACTTCAGGTTTAGTTATCCTTCCTGCAGTGTGTGTCTCATCACAAAGAGCCCTCCAGCTGGTGACCAGGCCTTATATCCCCTCCTGTCTGTACTGTGGCTAATATAATGCTCTCTAACTGGACCTAGCCAATGTATATTGGACACAGCCTGATTGGAAGTTCAAAGAAGTATGCTGTTTACCACTTATGTAAGATATGCTAAGGGGAATACAAAAGGCCAGAACTTGTATAGTGGAAAACTCCTATATATATATATATTTACACCAGTATGGTAGCTAGAAAGTTTTGATGCTGCAAAACACTCAATGGTTTAAATACTGTATATTTCCATCTAACTAAAATATACTTGTAATTATAACATTATTTACATCCATTAATGCAGATTTCACATAAACTCATTATCTAACAATCCCAACTGTCAAACATGGTGGTGTAAACATTCTGCTTTGGGGGTGTTTTTCTGTTATGGGGATAGGACAACTGCACCGCATCAAAGGGGCGATGGAAGAGGCAATGTACCGTCAAATCTTGGGTGAGAACCTTCTTCCCTCAGCCAGGGCATTAAAAATGGGTCGTGGATGGGTGTTCCAAAATGACAATGACCCAAAACACACGGCCAAAGGAACAAAGGAGTGGCTCAAGAAGAAGCACATTAAGGTCCTGGAGTGGCCTAGCCAGTCTCCAGACCTTAATCCGATTGAAAATCTGTGGATGGAGATGAAAGTTCAAGTTTCCAAACGTCAGCCACCAAACCTTAATGACTTGGAGAGGATCTGCCAAGAGGAGTGGGCCAAAATCCCTCCTGAGATGTGTGCAAACCTGGTGGCCAACTACAGGAAACATCTGACCTCTGTGATTGCCAACAAGGGATTTGCCATCAAGTACTAAGTCATGTTTTGTGAAGGGGATCAAATACTTATTTCCCTCATGAACATGCAAATCAGTGCATCATTTGTTAGACATGTATTTCTTTTGAATGTTTTGTTGCTATTCTGTCTCTCAGTGTTACAATACACCTACCATTCGATTTTTAGACTGATCATTTCTTTGTGAGTGGGCAAACATTCAAAATCAGCAGGGGATCAAATACATATTTCCTTCACTGTATGTATGTATGTATGTATGTGTTTATGTGGATTATCATGTATTTCATTGTAGCTTCGTTCCAACTACTAGATACCTCAGATTCAGTTGTGATTTCTTTTTTCATTCCTTTCATATATTTTGTTGTGCTACATTTTATTTGTTCTTTGGCATTGAGAGATCTGTGTAATATCTCACCAACAGAATTTAGCTCTCTTAAGTTGGATGGAGGCTTAGGGCCTCTAATGTGGTCCTGTACCAAGGAAACCTACCACAGAGTTGCCTTTTGAAGTTGCCATTTCCTTTTTTTTTTCTCCTTTTGGAGCAGCATGCTGATTCCGGGCACGGAATCTATTCAGCTGCACCATGAGTGACCTAACTTACCTTCCTTTTAACTTGTAAGATAAGCAGAGCCCTCTTATCACTCTTGTGTTGAATGCTAATAATTTTAATGTAATTGTACTGTTTCCCTCCATTTTGTAAAGGAGTTGAGCAAACTGTTGGCACTATATAAATCCTGTACAAAAACAAAATAATACTTTGTGCCTGGGAGACCGGAAAGTCAGAGAATTTAGCTGCTCCCCTAGCACAGTTCAGTAATGAAGATTTAACTATCCTGTAAGTTACATTAGGAGTTTGAGTATTTATAAAAATACAAACAGATAAATCCAATTCAGGAGTATGAGGGGTGTTGGAGCTCTATGTGAGCTGTGTTTTTTAGATTCCTCATCACTTCTTGTCCCATGTTGTCACAGGGGCATATTGTAATGTGATCTCTTCATTGGAACCAGGAATGACAACAACAAATACAATGTTTTCTCTTTTAGTAGAGAATGGTAGGGAAGAGTAATAGCCACTGCCAAGTTTTAGTGCAGTCTGTGTCTTCATGTCCCAGGGAACTTTTCTCTCCCCTTTTTTCATGTAGGTGTCTAGGGAACAGAGAGTGAGAGGACATCATCCCAAACAGTAATTAAACCTGACGTGTGTTCTAACAATTCTACTGTCTACCCAAAACCCCAAACTACTGTAGTTTTCACTTTTTAATACAATTTTAAATCTATTGCAAATTAAATTCACTAAAAGTTGAGTATTAGAATTAACATAATTCCTATGGTAATTGTCTCAAAAGCAGGTCGTTCACAAAAAAATGCACAATAAATACCACATGCGTTAAATGTTTTATTTTGCTATATTTAGCGTGCATGTTTTTCCATCTTATTTTATCCCAGACTGAACCCCCAGCTGCAGCTAGAAGTGAAACATTTTAGCCCTACCACTGCTAAATGTGACAGTTGGGCTCAGGGATGCTGGTTGTTAAGGAGCGGGGACCTGCCAACGTCCTAACAACCATGATTATCCCTGCTGTCATTGGGGGACTCCCGCTAAACCTTGTGATCTCAACAGGTGTGTTGCATGGATGAATGCTGAATAAATTAAGGGTGATCTACTAAAACTGGAGAGTGCACAATCTGGTGCAGCTCTGCATGGAAACCAATCCACTTTCAGTTTTTATTGTCAAAGCTTAATTGAATAAGCTGAAGTTTGAAGCTGATTGGATATCATGCATAGCTGCACCAGATTCTGAGTGCTCCAGTTTTAGTAAATCAACCCCATTATCTAATATGTACATAGCCACTTTAAGCAGAATCTGAAATTCTGTGTTTGAAATAACTGAACAGTAAGCCTGTAAAATGTTAGAGATACATCAAATATTACTTCCCAGGTAAATGTTGCAAAAATGTTTAAAAATGTGTCCTCATCAAAAAACTAAGCTTTCTCTTACATTGTGACAGATCCCTTTGATCATCTTCAGTAATTTTATTTATACCTTTTTTGTCAATCTGAATTTATTTCCCGTAAAGATTGTTGCTGCTTAATATACAGTAAGAGTGCATACAGGACCTCTATAAGTTATGACCTTTAAAAAGAAAATAATTCCATGATTATTTTTGTTTCCCATTATATAAATGAACAAAGACATATTGGATATTTTGACTGTTCATGTTGCAGATTAAATCACTCTAGTAAAAAGTGATGGCAAAAGATAGTTTTATTTGTATTTCATACTCAGAGCTGTCTTTATTTTTACAGCTGTATAACTTTCTACGATTTTGTGAAATGCTTATTAAGGGTCCTTCCAAGATCAAGAAAATCAACTTATTGACTTCAAGAGATGAAGTAAGTTTATTAGTATTTCTGATCATATACTGTAACCTATATACAAACTCGCATTTATCCCTGCCTCCCCATGGGTTGTTCATGTGTGTTCTTTGTATTCCTCTCAAAAGTTGTCAGTTCTTACATTTCTAGTAGAATAATTTCTGTTTGAATAATATTTAGGGCTGGTTCATACCATGTCTACAAAGGAATGCACTGTACTTTTTTGTGTGATTCACATGCTGTTCTGTGTGTTGTGATGTCAGCCCATTCATTTTGAATGGACTAAAATTGCACAGCATCACACCAAAAGTAATGCTTGCACTACTTTTTTTAAAACACACTGCAACATACTGCGTTCGCGACCTGTGTTTGGATGTCGTTAACTTCGTATAGACACCCGCTGCAGATTGCAAATGGAGTGCATTTTACATGCAGAGTGAATGTAAGTTCCCTTTGCTATTCATGTGCTGGCATGGTGTGAACCAGCACTTAACCACTTCAAGTCTGGACACTTTCACCCCCCATCCAGTCCAGGCCAATTTTCAGCTTTCAGCGCTATCACACTTTGAATGCCAATTGCGTGGTCATTGCGGGATATTTATTTGTTTGCTATATAAATGAAAGACCAAAAATTTTGAAAAAAAAAAAAAGCGTTTTTCTTATAAAATTTTGCAAATAATGTTTCTTCATAAATCATGGCCAAACTTTTTTCAGCTATATTTTTGGTAAAAACAAAAATAATCCAAATTAGTTTATAAAAAAAGAAAAATGATAGTTTTTTTTTTTTTTTTTTTTTTTACATACTGTCACCCTAGCAGTACAGTGTCACCATAGTGACACTACTACTTGTGGAGGTGATGAAGATTTTTTTTTTACACTGATTGCTTTTACACCCTTAAAGGCTGTAAAAGCAATCATTTTTCTTTCTCTCTGGCTGCATTCCTGCAGCTATTGAGAAATACTGTGAGAGCTGTGATTGGTCACAACTTGTCACATGCTACAAGGCTGTTCTGAATAGCCTTGTGCCATGTGACCTTGTGGCAGGTCCCCTACAGTGATCTGTGTTCTGCTGAGTCCGGTGGACACAGGCACAGATCGCGGCGCGCACAGGCAATGGATGCGGGGAGACGTTTAGAAATGTCCCCCCACATCGGCAGCGCTCTCGTCTGGCTATTTATCCGCATGCGCCAGACAAGAAGAGGTTAAAATGCCCAATTGAGTGATATATTTCTATGTAAAATAATGCCTTATTTAGAGTGAGCATTTTTTTCCACAACACACTTTATGCACCAAACTTTAGGGCTAGGAGGTCCATCTATGTGGAGAATGGACACCACTACTCATACATGTCCCTAAAGTGCTGGGAATAGGAATTTGTGAAGTAATCTGTCAGCATACTGGAAGTGTTGCTCTTGTCCTCATTTTTGTTATTATTGAGAGTAGCATTTTATCAGTTTTATTATTTGTGTACCTCAAAGCTATGAGATGTTCATTCTTGTCTTTAAAAATTAATAGTTTACATCGTAACATGTTACAAAGAGCAGTAACCAATTACATTGTAGCTTTCATTTGCTTCGTGTGGACGGGCCAATGAAATCTGATTTCTACAAATCACAATATTTCCTTTCTATGTTATAATATAAATCCCAATGCACCTATACAGGTGTGTGACATAATTGCCTGCTTCCAAATGAAACAGAAATGCAAATAGTATTTATATTTCTGGTATGCTTTTGCTATATAGGAGTAAGCTAATCTCCACCCAAAACTATTTAGCTTTGCTACATGCTGGAGAGTTAGGCCTCATTCACAGGGGTATAATTAAAGTGTTAATAAACCTAGGACCCTGCATTCACTATGGCTGGCCTCTCACAGTACCCAAAACATGGAAATGCAATTACCTTAGTAAAGATAAACTGCTAAATACCATTTCTCATCAAAAGTTAGAGCAGTCTTGTGACTTCTACCAGTGTCCAGCAGAGCACTGGTTAAAGCTTGAAGGAGGAGTTTTCAGTCTCCCCCGATTGTCTGATGAGGCTGCCTCACCCCTCACCCTCTGTCTGGACAGCGCTGATTGGCCCTGTGCTGATCACATGCATTCTCACAAGAAAACAAAAACTGCTATAGCAATGTACACTAAACTGAGCATGTGCAGCTTGCCCCCAAGGCCTTGCTCTATCAGCAGATGGATGGGGGACAGTGGAAGAAAGGGAGGATCAGAGAAGACAGGATCAAACAGCCTTTTTGCACAATGCGGAGGATTAGCCGCTTAGGTTCCATGGTAAGTATAACCAGCATGCTTTGCTACATATACAGACTGATTTTACTGTTGTAGGTTTAGTAATACTTTAAGCTTACACCTGTGTGAGGGCCAGGTTTGCCTACACGGGGAAATGCACAGATATTCTGTTCATCTCTGTGTAGGCAGTTCCATTCATGTCATGTGGGACATGGTCACTGCTCCCAGTTTGACAGCTGTGCAGGTCCCCAAGTACACACTGTGACCAAAGATGTGTAGACAAACAGGGCATTCTCACAGGTGTGCGCTTAAGTATGTGCATGTGAATGAGGCCTTAAAAGGAACATACAGGACGCTGCCATGTAATTTTGGTTTTCCAATAACTACAGAAATATTACTTTTGAGTTTTCATGCTGATCCAAGCTTCACTACCTGAGTACGTTACCAATCTGGAACTTGCACATAGGGTGAGTTTGGAGCATATGTGTTCTGGGTCATGGACACTAGGTAGCGAATCAATACAAAATGCAATTACAAGACATTTTACTGCATATTTTATTTCCCATATCAGAAACAGACTCTTCATAGGTCAGATGTGTACTTTCTTCTATCAATCAAACATATTAATACAAAAAAAGATGATAGGCAAACAAGTGCACTACTGTTATCTGAATCAAGAGTCATGAAGGAAAGTTAGAGGAAGTAATGGAGATTTGTAGATTAAATATTGTGCAAAGGAGAAGTGACTGTGACAAGTTATTATTGTAAAAAGAAACAGTGTGGATCTAGTTAGATACCTTGTTGTATAATAGTAACAACAAAATGTTGATCCACAGTACTTCTTATGAAAAAAAAAGTCTCTCCAGGTGGTGTGTCATTTTCTAAAGGCTAGTTAAATATATACACATGTACACATATGAGTGAGGTGAGAGATTGCTCGTGCTTCCCTATTTAGGGGAGGAGTGTTGTTAGAAGTCCATGCCCTGATAAAGTCTCTTAGTGAGACAAAATGGTATTTTAATTAGGTACTTGGAGTTGTGTGACTCTGATGTTTGGTGATGAGAAGTGGTGGAAGTCTTCCAGTCATTTACACGTTGTGGATATAATTCAATGACATTGTGACTTCAATGGGATTGATAAAAACATGACTGATTACTATAGGACCAAAAAAGCAGTGAGATACATATGGATGAATGGGGGAGTCCCCCGGAATACAAGTACGACTGCTCGTTTTAGAACATCTATTGATTATAATATGTGATATCCATTGAGCTGACTGATTTCAATTTTATTTTTTTTCTGTGCATAAAAAGAGATTATACAATTTAGGAAAGAGTCAATTTTGTATGATGGGACATATGTTAATAAGAACAGATCCATCTCAGGGTATACCAATTACATAATCATGAAAAGAAGAACTGGTGTTTGAATGGACCCAAAAGATATGTGAACAGTTTGTTCAATGCAAGCTGTAACAAGTGTAACAAATTATTTTATATAAGAGTCAATCAGGATACTTTAATGTTGTAAATGTCAATTAATTAAAAGATAAGACATCCCTATTATAGGTTGCAAAAACACATACTTTAATTACTAAATAAGGGCTTATGTACACTGTAGCTGATAAACCAAACTTGCGTTCAGGAGTAGATTTTATCAGCATTTCAAAAGTCAAACACTTGTAAACGCAGCTAACCGCATTTATAAGCTTTTGCGTTTAGAAGCGTTTTTTAACTGTTCCATTTCCAGATGCTGTCCACAGCCTTTTTTCATCATCAGAAATGCATACAAAGTGTTTTCCATGTATTCAAATGGACCCGGTACACCAGCGCAGTCAGTTCCAGGTTTTGCGTGAAGGAAACAATGTTAGAACGTGTCGCATTATGCTCATGATGGGATCCATAGTGAATACGACCAGAAAAGGTAATCTCAACACATACTGCTCTCTGTTTCTGCTCTCTCTATTTCTCTCAAAATGTCTCAAATAGTAAATTTTTTACTGTTTTTCAGTGCATTCTGGGCATTTTGGAAGGTCTCCTGAGGTTATCTTAACCTTTTGCCGCCCTGCCAATGGCCGTTTGGCGGCCGGCAAAATCCCTCAGCATACCGCCTGTAGAGCCGCGCAGTGGCGCGATCTGTCACCGGCCGTGTACCTCGGACACGGCCGATAGCAGTTCTGAGTACCGGCCCCATTGCCAGTACCATGTGACCTGCTATGACCAATCACAGCAGGTCACATGACACTTGTATACAATGGTTGGCTTCATTCATGCCATCCATTGTATACTAGTGTGTCTAGCTGTGATTGGTCACAGCAATCACATGCACAAGCTTGGCCAATCACAGCCCAGCTGTGTCATGTGCTTAGCCGTGGCCAAATCACAGCTAAGCACAAAAAAAAAAAAAAAAACCCGGAATGAATCAATGTCATTCAGGTAAATGCTTGCTTATAGCAAAGTAATTCTTTGCTATAAGCAAATTGTGTAAAAAAATAAATAAATAAAAAATACTGATCACTTCCCCAAAGTAGTACAGTGTTACTTTGGTAACATTGTACTACTTTGGTCATAGTGAAATATGAAAAAAAAATTTAAAAAATTTAATAAAAAAATTAAAAATAATAAAAAAATTATATATTTTTTTTTTCATACTGTCACCAGTCAGTGTCCCTGATCACCGCCATGCCAGTTATATGATGACGCTGTACTGTACTGGTGACAGTATGTAAAAAACAAAAGTGAAAATAATCTTTTTAATTTTCTGAAAAATTATGACAAAAAAATACAACTTCAAAAAACTCGCCATGCCTCTTATGAAGTACGTCATAAAAAAGTGGTCACTTGGAGGATATCTGCACTGTTCTGACATTCTTGGACCTCAAGAAATTAGATTGGCCATCAGTACTTCAGGATTGATCAATTTTCAGATCTATCCCATAGTTTGTGAACTCTATAACTTTTCTACAAACTAAATAATACATCCTAATTTGGGTTATTTTCACCAAAGACATGTAGCAGAATACATCTTGGCCTAAATTTATGAAGAACAATTATTTATTTGCAAACGTTTATAACAGAAACAAAGAAAAACGTGTTTTGTTTTTCAAAATGTTCGTTTTTTTTTGTTAATTTAGCAAAAAATAAAAATCCCAGTGATGATTAAATACCACTAAAAGAAAGCTATAGTTGTGTGAAGAAAATGATAAAATTTTAGTTTGGGTACAATGTTGTATGACCGCGCAATTGTCATTCAAAGTGTGAGAGCGCTGAAACCTGTAAAATGGCCTGGGCAGGAAGGGGGTAAAAGTGCCCGGTATTGAAATGGTTAAAAAAACACGCATACACAGTGATATGCAAACACGCTAAACAGATGTTTTTTTACCTACATTTTCCAGCAGTCCGTTTCCATCATACAGAAGAGTTTTTCAAATGTCCGTGTACATGAGAACCTTACTATTCAAAATGGACATATACCAGTGAATTCACAAACGTTGTATATTGCATACATTTTAAAACAAGGCACCAGTTATAACTGGAGCTGCTAAAAGGGTGAATGGACTGTTTTGTTGCCTGCTTGTGGGGCAGCAATACTAACTTAATACAAAAAAGGTTTGCACAATATCTAGAAAATGTAAATGTTGTATCAGGATGTACATATTTACTTAATAAATAAGCCACCTAGGTAGCAGATTTGTTTTTTCATTATTATTATTACACTATGATGTTGTCTTGGTGGATCTTAGGCACTTCGATAGTGTGTAAGAGAACTTTGGGTGCACATTTTTATATTCTTGCTGTTTATAGAAATGTGTATATATATTTTTGTATGATTCAAGTAACAGCAGTGTTCTTGTTTGCCTACACTAAGTGCTGAAGACAGAATCAAAACAATGCCTCTTGTATTTCTGTTCCCACACGTTCATGTTTATTAACATTATAACATCTATTTTTATCAGTTTATATATAGATGTAGATTTATTGTTAACACTTTATTTTGCAAGTACAAAAATTAAACACATGTCAGGTTTGTTTACTGTTATCTTTGAAGCAGGAAAATGGGAAAGATCAACAGATGTGCATTCTGCAAGAGATAAAAATCTCCCTTCAGGATTATGGCGTTCTATTAGACTTCAGCTTCTCTCAATCCATCCACGACCGGGAAATCAGGTAGACAACAACATAAACCTGTCTTGCTTATGGGTATTAATTGATACAAAGTACTGCTGCATTTCCAGAATCCTCATTATTTAGTATCAGCCAGACTGACATTTGATATCTTCCTATTGCCTAACATATGTTCTTAGTATATATTGGAGCCATTGGTGTACAATGGCTCCTCATACATGGCTCCCCATGCAAATGAAGACTGATGTGATTTGGATGTTTAGGCACAGATCAGAAGCAGCAGGGGTTCTTAACCTGGGGTCCATGGACTCCTAAGTGGCCCATGGATGGGTTTCAGGGGATCCGTGAGAGTCAGATAAAAAATAGCATTTACCTTTTATTATACAGCCCTCCACTTGTTCAATTCAAAGGTTTCTTATTGAAGGAAATGACAAAAAATGTTCCCTGCTACTGTTTATAGCTCTGGCAGCTAATCATTTCTTGACTTGTTGGCCATTTTTTACCATTTCAATTTATATCATTGTTCTTTGCACAGCCAAAATCTTGTGCGACTCCATCATAGCAAGTAGTAGTGGTAGTAGTAGCAGCAGGTTTAACAGAATTTACTGTAAATTGTTTTATTTAACTTGCACAAGATGATAGTATTTAATTTTTGTAATGAGTGGCCTTTATTTTTTGCAAGAAAAGGAGTGAGTTTTTTTGTTTAGATTGTTTGTTCAAACCTTGTGTATGTCATATATGAATGAGGCAATCACATAATAAAATAAAGTACATATATTCATTGTGTATGTTTTATGTAAATATTTCTGGGGAGGGGGGTCCATAGCTTTCAACAGATTTTTAAAGGGGTCGTTGACGGTTAAGAACCACTGCTCCTAAGGCAGTGTTGCATTTGCAGTCCTCCCAAGACCTAAAATTTATAGAACCAATGTTTACCCCTAATTACACCCATTTTCTAGGACTGTAAACTTTTTGGAATAAAAGCAACGAGTGATTATGTAGGTAAACATTATTTAGCACACTATGCATTGTTTGATAGGTTACATAGGCAGAGATGTTTGTTTGCATGCCATTTCCCTGCACCCCCCTACTCAAACACAAGAGTTTGGGTTCTGGGTTTTTTTTTCTACACCATTGAGTGTTGAGAGCAGCCCACATTTTTTTGTAAAATGTGTTTACACCTAGCGAACACATGGCCAAAGAAAAATTCCCTAATTGATATTTTACCACAACCGAGTATGCCGTAAAATAACGCACATCGTTTTTGAAAAAAAAAAAAAACCCCCTGTAATTCACTAAGAAACGCTATATATCGCATGCGTTATATATTTTCGAATTATGCTGTAATTACTACATGAAACCGTGCCTTTAAATTATCACAAACATATCGCAAAAAAGTTATATCTTGTGACATACCTGTGACATTCTGTCACATAGCACTTGGATATTTAAGCAGTGGTCACTTTTCCTGCTGAAGTAGATATGCTTCTTTAAAAGATGGTGCAAAAAAGCAACGTGTACATTCAATTGCACCAAGCACATTTGGGAATCTGGCAATCCGATACAAATCATTTTTAATTTGATCCCACTTCTGACGAGATTCCGGAAAGTTAATATATTTGGGTTCTATTACAAATTAATATATTTGGGTGCAATATATTAGTGATGAGACGGGAAAATGATGCCTGCAAAATTTCCCACTATCTTGCCAGCTAATATTTGATAGGATGCTTTCCCCCAAAAAATGTAATGCAGCCAAAAATGTAGTCATGACTGGTATGGCATGACTTCGCTGGGTTGAGGGCTCAAGGTAACCAATGAGTTGGGCATATACAGTCAGGTCCATAAATATTGGGACATCGACACAATTCTAACATTTTTGGCTCTATACACCACCACAATGGATTTGAAATGAAACGAACAAGATGTGCTTTAACTACAAACTGTCAGCTTTAATTTGAGGGTATTTACATCCAAATCAGGTGAACGGTGTAGGAATTACAACAGTTTGCATATGTGCCTCCCACTTGTTAAGGGACCAAACGTAATGGGACAATTGGCTTTTCAGCTGTTCCATGGCCAGGTGTGTGTTATTCCCTCATTATCCCAATTACAATGAGCAGATAAAAGGTCCAGAGTTCATTTCAAGTGTGCTATTTGCATTTGGAATCTGTTGCTGTCAACTCTCAAGATGAGATCCAAAGAGCTGTCACTATCAGTGAAGCAAGCCATCATAAGGCTGAAAAAACAAAACAAACCCATCAGAGAGATAGCAAAAGCATTAGGCGTGGCCAAAACAACTGTTTGGAACATTCTTAAAAAGAAGGAATGCTCCGGTGAGCTCAGCAACACCAAAAGACCCGGAAGACCACGGAAAACAACTGTGGTGGATGACCGAAGAATTCTTTCCCTGGTGAAGAAAACACCCTTCACAACAGTTGGCCAGATCAAGAACACTCTCCAGGAGGTAGGTGTATGTGTGTCAAAGTCAATGATCAAGAGAAGACTTCACCAGAGTGAATACAGAGGGTTCACCACAAGATGTAAACCATTGGTGAGCCTCAAAAACAGGAAGGTCAGATTAGAGTTTGCCAAACGACATCTAAAAAAGCCTTCACAGTTCTGGAACAATATCCTATGGACAGATGAGACCAAGATCAACTTGTACCAGAGTGATGGGAAGAGAAGAGTATGGAGAAGGAAAGGAACTGTTCATGATCCTAAGCATACCACCTCATCAGTGAAGCATGGTGGTGGTAGTGTCATGGCGTGGGCATGTATGGCTGCCAATGAAACTGGTTCTCTTGTATTTATTGATGATGTGACTGCTGACAAAAGCAGCAGGATGAATTCTGAAGTGTTTCGAGAATATTATCTGCTCATATTCAGCCAAATGCTTCAGAACTCATTGGACGCCGCTTCACAGTGCAGATGGACAATGACCCAAAGCATACTGCAAAAGCAACCAAAGAGTTTTTTAAGGGAAAGAAGTGGAATGTTATGCAATGGCCAAGTCAATCACCTGACCTGAATCCGATTGAGCATGCATTTCACTTGCTGAAGACAAAACTGAAGGGAAAATGCCCCAAGAACAAGCAGGAACTGAAGACAGTTGCAGTAGAGGCCTGGCAGAGCATCACCGGGGATGAAACCCAGCGTCTGGTGATGTCTATGCATTCCAGACTTCAGGCTGTAATTGACTGCAAAGGATTTGCAACCAAGTATTAAAAAGTGAAAGTTTGATTTATGATTATTATTCTGTCCCATTACTTTTGGTCCCTTAACAAGTGGGAAGCACATATGCAAACTGTTGTAGTTCCTACACCGCTCACCTGATTTGGATGTAAATACCCTCAAATTAAAGCTGACAGTCTGCAGTTAAAGCACATCTTGTTTGTTTCATTTCAAATCCATTGTGGTGGTGTATAGAGCCAAAAATTTTAGAATTGTCGATGTCCCAATATTTATGGACCTGACTGTAGCTCCATACTTAGTGCCTTGAAAACCAGAACTTCTGGAGGATATCCACATTCGTGTAATTATCCAGCAATGTGTGCTCCTTAAAAGAAGTTTGGGATTTAGTTTTTTCCCCAAATCATACTTGCCTATTGTACCTTTTTTATTCTGTTTACATTAGCTTTGTGTAATCCCTCTGAACTGAGGAAAGGACAGTACTCTAATACAGACAATGGTCTAACTTAGTTTACCTTTGAGAGCTGTCTGCTGCTGCTCCATAATTATTAACAAGAAAAGCAGACAGGGGGTGCAGGATCCAGGTTAAAAAAGTAAATGAATTTATTGAGATAAAACAATAGCAGACTTACAGTAGCCTGTACCCTGCTGAAGTAAAGTACAGTGTTGCAGGCAGGCAGAAGTTCTGAGATGCAGAAGTGAAATGCCTTATAACCCCTTGGGGAGCAGCGTCAGCTGCCACTGTATAATCGCGGAACAGCGACACGTACTGACAGGGCAGCAATGCATTTCAAAAGAACCACCTTCTTTGTCAAGCCTGCTCATAGCTGGTAACAGGGATATTTTATACAGAGATAATTAGGAGATGTGCAGCACTGCAATAAACACAGGGCTTAACACATTTTGGGATGGCTTCAATCACCCAGACTCTAGTGGACTGGTTTTATGTTTTAGTGCAATGTGTCTTGGTACACTATTGTCCAAATCCCCCTGTTCAGTTTACCTACAATGTTCAGTGAACCTGCAACATAACTTTCTAATAGTGTGACCTGCATACAGAAAGCCGTGGGGCAAGTAAGGCAATCGATTACAAGGTCGGCCGAGCAGTTGTAAAAGGCCTGAAGATGGTACCGTTACTGCTATCATCAGAAAACATTTTCTGCCTTTGTTGTACAGAGTTGCACATGAGGCATTCTTTCTTTTTGCACTGATACATTTCCAGCAAGCTGCAAAATGACATAGTATACCAAGGCATTTTGCACTAAAACATAGTAAGTCCACTAAAGTCATAGGAGTCTGGGTCTGCAGGATCAGTTCTTTTTATTATGGACTTTGCCATCTGATGGACTTTTTATCCCTGTTCTTACCTTTTATCGTGTAAGTGTTTGATGTGTGCTTTTTTATTTAATTTGGTATTCCGAAATTATTTAATCACACCCAGGACAGTGGCAACATGCTGAGTCCAGCACCTGGCTATGCTGCCTTGCTTGAGTACCTGGATTATGTGACAGGCTGCATAGAATTACACTGCAGAACTTTTTGGTAGTGGAGGATTTCACCCATATGTATTTCAGCTGTACATTTATTTGCATAGAGTTCTGCTTTAAATTGCCCTCCTCTTCTTCCATACCACAGTTTGGGGCCAAATTAAGAATTCTACTAAATGGCTCAAATTCCTGTCCTCCCATTACCCTACCAGGCACCAGTAGAAGGAAGCAGTTGGTGGTCTTGGAAAAAGGAGACTAGGTTGGGGATGGGGCTGCATTTGGAGCTTCAAGACCTTGGCCCTAACTGTCAAAGTTGGGAGCACTTGAGAAATGCTTATAGCAGTATTAAACCCAAAAGCAAACATTTATTATATTGCAAGCCTGTGATTATTATTTTTTCATCACTGGAGTATAGTGAAGTTCATTGCAGCTTAGTACATTGTAAGGTGATGATTTATGTTCTTTGTCAACAACTATAACCTGTTGTGAATGAAAGCTTTTGGCCATTACATTTCTTGTTTTGGATGAGCATCCAGGTATAGTTTTTAGAAAACCAGGACTGATGCTGATTTTTTTTTTATTTTTTACTTTTGCCACAAAAAGTGATAACCATGTTTGTAGTACACTATTATTATATTCAATATATATGCTTTGTATTTCTTATTTAGTAAAATGTACTTCTGTTTTCTTTGTGATAGATTTAACAACGGTTGGTTGATTAAAATTGGTCGAGGTCTTGACTATTTTAAGAAACCTCAGGTAAGGACAGTGACATTTCAATACCGAATGAACCAATGAGGAAAAGACATTAATAAAAAAAACTTCCTCAAAAATGCTTTAATTTGTAGAAACCTTTTTTTGACACTCCTGATATTTGCAAGATCCACCCATTGAATTTTTTTGCGTTTAAGAGTAACTTTCTATCATCTCAAACCAGTCTGCCCATTCTCCTCTGACATCAACAAAGCATTTTTGTCCACACAACTGTTGCTCACTGGATATTTTCTCTTTTTTGGACTATTCCCTGTAAACCCTAGAGAAGGTTGCGTGTGAAAATCCCAGTAGATCAGCAGTTTTTTAAATACTCAGACCAGCCCATCTGGCACCAACAACCATGCCATGTTTATAGTCACGTAAATCTTCTTTCTTGCCCATTCTGATGCTTGGTTTCAACTTCAGCAAGTTGTCTTCAGCATATCGAGATGCCTAAATGCATTGAGTTGTTGCCGTGTGACTCCTTGATAAGCAATTTGTGTTACCAAGCAATTGAACAGATGTACCTAATAAAGTGTCTGGTGAATGTATGTGGACTAAAATCACTGGTGAACAGTTGCCTGGAGTGTATGAAGGGCACTTCTTTTTAGTTGTTTGTTTTCTATATTAGAGCTGTTCATATATGCAATTGATTAATTGGCGCTGTGCATGAAACATTGATGAGGGATGAAATCAAGTAGATTGCATCTCTGTATTGCCGAAGCAGGGAAGAAAAGAGCTGGGCAGATGGAGTGGGGGAGGAGAGAGGCCAGGCGCATGGAGCGGGGGAGGAGAGGGCCGGGCGCATGGAGCGGGGCAGGAGAGGGCCGGGCGCATGGAGCGGGGCAGGAGAGGGCCGGGCGCATGGAGCGGGGCAGGAGAGGGCCGGGCGCATGGAGCGAGCGAGGGAGGAGACAACTGTGACACACAGTTGTCTGCAGTTGATTTTAAACAAAGCGGTTTCTTATCTTTTCTAATGTGAGTGCATTTGGGCAAGCTATAAAGCATTTTAGTCCTTAGAAAAAAGTACAGACATACTTCCTTATCCTTTTTACTGAGGAACATCTAAGGAGGAGATAAAGAGCAGGAGAAGGAGTGAAAGATCCCTGCGGGGATACTGGCAAGGAGGATAAGAGCATTGGGAAGCAATTAAGGGATACCCACCACTCTTCATATGGTGCAACAGTGTTTCTAAAAGTTCCATATGTGAGCAAAAAGCGAAGTAAGCCTGTTACAGGCTGAAAAGGAGGCGAGCGCATAACCTAATCACAATAAGAAATCACTGGGAATTGCAATTACCTATTTTTGATCACTTTTTGGGATTTATCACTTTTATACCAATAGAGACTTTTGTTTATTTTTTATTCACTTTCACAATTGGTTTTTTTTGGATCACATTATATTTTGGGACTATCACTATTAAGTTGGTACCAGAGACTTTATGTTTTTTATTATTTCTACTTTTTAATTTTATTGATTTGTTTGTCATTTGCTCTAAATATATATTCTGATAGTTGCATAATTACTATATGGGTAATAATTAGGAGCGTGACATTTATTGAAAAATATATTTGACAGATACCAAACTGCCACAGGGCTGAGCTAGGCAGGAGGAGGAGGAGAGCACTGACTGGTAACCAAGACTGCTGTCACTGGTGAGGAAAGACACTTCTTGGGTCTATGTTGCCTATTGGGGACTTTCTGTACCCTTCACCCTGCTAACCTCACAATACTGACAGCTGGGAACAGATACACACTGCCCCCCACTCCCTGACACTGACAGAAAAATCTCCAAAAATCACTAGAACCAGCAGAGGGGGCTGGCCGGTGGAATCTGTCAGTACCAGGAGGGAGGAAGGAGGGCCTCCATTTTTAAATTACGGGAGAGAAGGCATTTAATTTGTTACTAGGGGGCACATTTGCCATTACGAAGCAGCACGTGCCCCCAGCGCTGGCATCCCCATGCTCCAGGCGGGTCCCTGTGGCCTCCCTGTCACACCTGGAGAGGAGAGGTGGTGGGGATGATATTTACTAGAACTGATTGGCTGTACTTTCCTCCTGCAGCCACTGAAAGCCAGATTCTCCTCTTCACTGCATTCAGCAGCTGCAGGAGGAAATTACAGCCAGTCGATTCTAGTAAATGTTGCCCCCGCCGCCTCTCCTCTCTTTCTGCTGCTCCACTCTCCCCCATCTCTACAGTGCTGCCGGCTTCCCTCCTCTCCTGCTGTCTGCTGAGAATTGAAGTATAATAAACTGTCTTTACTATTCTTCAGTTTATGAATGAACAGGAAGCTGCTCAGCACAAAGCACTTCCCATTTATTCTCTGTCCAGTGCAGCTAAGCTGCAGAGAAAGGAACTGGGGAATCTCTGTCTTCACTCCCTTTCTCTCTCTCAAAATTGAGACATCGGGTGTCTGTTTAGACCCCTGATATTTCACTAAAGCCCAAAAAATTTAAAAAAATTACTGACACCTTCCTACTGACTGACACTGTCCACTTGTAAGGTAGGCAAAGTCTATAGCTTTTTACAGTGACATTTGTTTTATTATATTTTTCCAAATTTTCCTTGTTATTTAGTTAGGCTTTGCTAGTTAATTTTCTTAAAAAAAGGGCACTAAACCCCGGTGATCTTGGATCTCTTTCATGTTGTTCAGGTAGATCTCTACATCTCAGAGGTTGCCTACCCCTAATGTAAGCTGTTGATCAGGATAGAATGCCTGCTTCATATACATGCTGATCATTTTATGTCTTAACCTTTAATCTTCATTCCATTGAGTGTGTTCACAACTATATATTGTATATGTGTCTGGTATTTATTTTTTTGCCGGCTGTGTGTCTAATCAAGTTTTGATCTTCCCATTTTAACTTTTATCTTGTCACGTTGTGTTTAAGTATTTAACATAGGTAACTATATAACATTATAAAAAGTCTGCTGTTTGCCATGTGTTTATAGAGTCGTTTTTCTATTGGCTCCTGTGACTATGACTTGCGGCCCTGCTATGAAACATCAGTCGATATCTTCCACAACAATCACACAAGAAAAACATGACTAAAGTCTGTACGATGGAGTAATTTTAAAGAGGTGTTCTAAGTAACTTTGAAGTGGTGGGAAAGTTTGGTTTGTCTTGTTTTGCAGTCCTGAAATCTAACCCAGGAACCATCGAAGGTATAAGTGTGCTTTGCTGCACAAAAAATACCCGCGTTGGAAGAATCAACAGCTGTCAATTGCTGCTTCTGTTGCTATGTTAGTACACTGGACATTCATTCAACATAATCTGTTTTATCAGGGAAACCATACCTGTGTTTTATATGCCTTTATATTTTATTTATGAAATTGTGTTTGTTGAAAATTTAGTAATTATATTATGTAATATGAAAGCATGCAAACACAGCTTTTTACTTGGCATGTGTTCTTGAGCTTTACTTTATATGTCTATACACTTCATGAAGTGATGTGTTTGAGATAAAATATAAAGAACTTCCTTTTTGGTACTTTCCCAGCATATAGTAGCGTATAATTGTGGCGAATCCTGTTTTGTCAGTTTTGTTGACAAATGAAACTTGAGATAACTGACTTTTTTTTTTTGCGGCTATGCCAGGCAGCTATTCTTCTAAACTGCAGAAACTTCCTACTATTTGCACTCAAGGACATCTGTGGGAATTGCAATTATTCCCTGAACATCATAATGCCATCTTTAAGCTGGCCATACAATATACAATTTTCTTGTAGAATTTTCCTCTAGATTTACCGAAAACCATATAATATGAGGTCAATCTTAAACAACACTTTTGATTTGTATCCAATCAGGCAGGCCCTAGCACTACATAGTTGAAAGTAAATCTAAATGAGATTGTGCAGAAATTGAACAAGAAGATTGTATAATGTACGACCAGCCTTAGACACCAAGCTGAGTGTTAAAATATGAACAGGTATTCGCTCTATTATTGCCTTCCCCCGGAGTTAAAGGCTAATAAGGGTAATACACTGAAGATCTTTTTAAGTAGCATAAAATGGGCCTCTAAAGTCCCATCTAGAATGGGCCAATTGTAGTGTTGTAATATTTGCAACATATTCATATTCCTGATTTTGGACTATTATTATTGGTGCACATATACAGTACATAGATGTATTTATTTTGGTATATCTCCATTCAGTATAAAACTATATAATTGGTGATCTCATAAATGAGCTACACCCATGCTTTAATGGATATTCTGTTGTGGAGAAACCATCACTAATCTGGAAGATTCCTTGTGATTTCATACCTCAGAATCCTCATTACATTTACATTCAAAACTATTTGCCCCCACCCCTGCAGAAAAGCAGTACAGAAAAACCTTTACATAGTGTACTCTACGCACTGTTAACAGAACAAATACCCAAGACTCCAGGCAGGAAAAAAATGGAAGTCTACAAGTGAGTGGGAATAGTGTGGGATAATCAAGGGTCTTTTGCATTGTCATTCTAACACTGGGAGATAGCCTATAGGACAGAAGAGCATGATCTGTAAATGTTTTCAAGACTAGTTTTTATTTGACTGACAGGCCCAGGACAAGTATGCAGATCAGGAGTTCTTCATTTTATATTTGTTTTCCTGGCTGCCTAATTGTTCTGTGTCAATGAAACTCTTGAAGTCAAACAGGCAACCAGAATTTTCCAGTAGGAGGCAAGTAATGGCAGCTTACATATTTTAGTACAGGTTTCCATTTAAAGTATATGGGAACCCTCTCAGGTTAAAATACACACACACACACCTTCCCAGTTATTTGCTGTGCAGGGGGGGCATGTCAACACAAGCCTGACCATCAAGTAGAATGCAAAAGAGAAAACTGACCATGCGGAGATGGATGTACTTCCATGTCTGGCATGGTCATTTGAAATTGAAAAGCAGGAGCACCAGGTATTTTACACAAAGGAAGAGAAGCAAAGAAAACATGCAACTTTTTCATACAAGCACATGGCAACACACATATCAGGAATATGAAATGTTGAGGTAGCATACTCTTTAAATGTTGGCTACCATTAACATGATTAG